GATGGGTGTGTCAGAGGCAGTGCGGTTGGCGCAGGATAGAGCAGGGTTTAGGGCTGTTGTGCATAGGGTCGCTATGAGTCGGAAACGACTCGACAGCACATAACAACAACATGTCTAATGACATACACAAATTTGCTCCAAGCATAATCAGTGGAGAAAAGAGAAGTGTTTATGTGGTGAGTCTCATTCTCTGGTGCTCAACTGTCACTTTGTGGTATGCATAAAAAATAGTGACTAGCAGTAGTGAAAGGATCATACTTTCTTCTGACACCTGTTTTCTTCTAGTGGGTCTAAGAAGAACTGACTACCATTATGCTTTCTTTTCACTACTCACATTATTTTAAAAATTTCTGTTATAACACCATTATCTCATACCGTTTTCATATGGAACAGAAAAAAAAATAAAGATTTCAACTAAACACTAGTTAGTGGATTTGGCATTGGAAGGGTTGTGGACTAAATCTGAATAGGAGATTGAGTATTTTAAGAAACTGAGGTGATGATCATATAAGATCTGGGTAAATACATTTCCTTGCAAAGGCTGTGTTAGAAGAGTGTTACAATAAAGATGACTCTGCAAACATTTTTCAAGACAGTGAGCAAGAAATTGAATGAAAGACACATCCACTGTAAAACTTAATTTTTTAATAGCGATACAGTAATAACTATAAATTACAAGATCAAAAGTGATGGTGTAAATACACTGCAAAACACGCCTGAAGGTGACAAGGGAAATCACTCAGTGCTACAAAAATACACATAAGTAATTTCCTGCCTTTGGGAATCTGCAAGACAAGAGTATTTACATAATTTGTAATAGATATGTGTGTGGGAAGTACCTTGCTAGAACAATCTCGTTCCAAAGTTTGAAACATAATTCTGTGAAATAAAAATATTCTTCATACAATGTATGAACGTATAGATAACTTTCTGGGCATAAAGTTTTTTTTATATGGTGGTCAGATGAAGATCTCTCTGAATTACACTTTCATTAAAACCTTGTTTCAACTGGCACCTGGAAGAAAAAAAAGTCTGTTAAACTTTGTTTTTTTCAATCAGGCCTGCATCATGTTTAAGAAGAATGAATATGGCCCATCTGATCCGAATCAGGTGCCAAAATGTGCCAGAGTCATCGCCTTTGATCATTTTTGGTCATCAGACATCTGTTTTTGCTACTTGGTTACCTTAGATTCATGTAATACCACGTTATTTCAGTATATTTTTCAAATGCCTCCTTAAATCAAGATAATTATACATTCTAGTATGGCACTTTTTTTTTTTTTACTTCTATTTCAGGAGTCAAAGAACTGCAAAGGGTTTTGGGTGCTGGCTAGGTACTTCTGACATTCAATGTTTGCCTGAAGAACCGCCGGTCACCTATCCACAAATGTTCACTTAGCTTCTGCTAAGCTCTGGTAGCTTCATGGTAAGGAGCTCTGCTGCCAGCTCAAAGGCACACTGTTCAAATCCCCCACTGCTCAGCAGGAGAAAGATGAGCAATCAACTCCTGCGAGATTTACTGCCTCTGAAAATCCACTGGAGGGTCCGCTATGGTTTGGTTCTGACTCGACGGTACACACAAGCAAGGCTAAGGAAACTCTTGGTTTAATGAGTAAGGAGCTGCACTGCCAACTCAAAGGCACACAGTTCAAGTCCAGCTGTTCTGCAAGAGAAAGATGGACAGTATCCTCACCTGCCATTGACTGCTTCTGAAAACCTACTGGAAGGTCAAAAATGAGTTGGCTCTGACTCAATAGCACCTAACAAGCACAACAAGGGAGCTCTGGTGGGCCAGTGGCATTGAGTAAGGTAAGGGGAGGCAAACAGCTGGTTGGGTGGTTTTGTTGTTGGGTGGTTGAGTTTGTTTTGTTTTTTTTTTTTTGTTGGTGTTTTGTTTTAAATAGATGGGAGAAACAGGATAAAGCTGACCTCAAATTGTTAGCTATTTGGTTCAAAAGTTGCATCAAATACTAGGTTTAAATGCTATTCCTCTGTTTTATCCCCTAATACTTTTTGACAATACTAAGTCCAGCTCCTGGAGGCAGTTTCTGGTCTGAGGTCCCTGGAGGGTTGCTCAGAAAAGGAGGGTTGAGTTTTTCTAGGAACCATGACAAACAACAGAGCTCAGGCAGGGTCTCCTTTTACTCCCAAGTTTATAAGCTGATTTCACTTTTTGGATTGTCTTTTTATATGAGCTTTTCTTACTTGATATCATTTTTGATGGAGGATAAGGTTGTGATATGTATGTCTTCATTTATAATTTAGATTTCTTTGGCTGTTCTTATTGGATCTTTCTTCAGCTAATGAAAAGTGCCACCAGCCACCTCCCATACTTGGAGACAGTCTCTAGAGTCTTTTCAGGACCATCAATTCCATTAGTTCTACAACCCGGAACAGATGTAGAATAGTACAATGAACAGGGAGCTTGGTGGCTTAGTGGTAAGGAGTTGCACTGCCAACCCGAAGGCACATGGTCTGAATCCATCCCTTGCTGCTTTGTGGGAGGAGGGTCTCCTCCTGTACAATGTACAACCTCTGAACATCTGATGAAGGGTCAGCAATGAATCAGTTCTTGCTGGAAGGCACATAACATCAACAACCATGCAATGAGTAGAGAATAGGTTTTGGTGTTAGCCAGATCTGGGTTCTAATTCTGTTGCTGCTAACTTGTGTGTGACCTTGAGCAAATTTCTTTACTTGCAAAATGAAGATAGCATCTTTGTATATAAGGATTGATGTTTGTGCCATCTCACTGGATTTGACCCATAGCTGACCCTCTAGCCAGTTTTCAGAGACAATATACTACACAGGAGGAGATCACCCAACTTTCTCCCACAGTGCAGCTGGTGGATTCAAACTACAGCTTTAGGATTGCAGTGCAGCTTCTTACAACTAGGTCACATAAGGACAGTTTTTTGTTGTTGTTGAGTATTATCCAATTGCAACCAGCTCATAGCTGACCCTCCAGCAAGTTCACCTGTCTTTCTCCCTTAGAGCAGCTGGTAGATTTGAACTGCATGTCTTTGGGATTGCAGTGCAGCTCCTTACCACCCAGTCAACAGAGCTCCCTATAAGGATTAAGAGGATTAATATAATGCACTTACTGAAACCTGATCTACAGATACCCACTTTGAGCTGTGATATGTTAGCTTCTGGGCTCCATCATGCTTTCATTTCTAAATGAAAATAGCAATACCTCCCCCTCCACCCCGTGGATAATTACAAGATGAGGGAAGATGATGATGGCTTTAAGGAATTTTGAAACACTTCCTTGATATATGTTTGTGCCCCTCGCACCCCTTGTGCCCTCTCGCTCTCTTTGGGAGAAGCCTGCTGCCTGCCTATCTTTCTCAGAGTAGGTCCCAGGGCTCACAATTTACACATTCTGTATCACATTGTTAGAGATCTAGTGTAACTATTTTTCCAACCTTTCCAGTCTCGCTTTCTTTTCCTCACAGTCCCTATGAGATTGGTTGGCATCATTTTGCTTTTTGAAACAGGGGGCTAAGATGAATGTGACGACAGAAGAGTCCTCACTACTTCAAGTGTTTTGCTGTGATGGTGTCTAGATAAAGAAGTCTCATGACTAGTACCTGACACTCGCGATTGCGCAGTCCTCCATTGGTATTGATGGTAAAGTCATATGCCATTTCTTTTTCCTGAGATAAACAGAATGGAAATGTGGGTTAGGAACATTTTTTTAAAAATGTTGTAAAATAAAGAGAATTTTTAGAAGTGCAGATCATGGTACGAATGTGAAAGACACCAAAGAGCTGGTACCTGAGTGGGATTAAACTTTGAAATATTGTAATCCTTCTTCATCAAACAATGCAGAACTGCATCATGGATGGTTAGGAAAAATATCGAGTCTTTGACTTCAGCATCAAAAAACTGACACCGGGCAAGCTGCTCAACCAGCTCATCTGAAGAGGGAAGGAAGAAACACATTTAGGTGGAAGGAGCTCCAGAGTCATGGGATTTTCTGCAAGCTGATGTTTATGTTTGTAAGTGGGCATTTCAGAGCTGGCTGTTTAAATGTTTGTGGGCTGCAGTGGTGTAAGCCCAGCGTACCAGTATCATCTGGAACTGAAGAATGTCTTTCTAACAAAAATTATGGATCTAATGGCCACTTAAAGGAAGAAAGAAACAGTTCAAATAAGGAAAATTTTAGGAGAAAACCAATCCACTCTGTATTAGGTATGAACCAAGTGAGTTGTTAATCTCTCTACTTATTAGACTGAAGCATTGATTTTGGATTATGATTAAAATTTGAAATTCTGGCAAGCTAGAACCACATGTTTATGGACTGGAGTTAGGCTTGGATTTGTAATCAACAGATCTGGTGTCAATTATTTGGGGCTCATCTTCCCAATGCTGCTAGGTTCCATCAGAAAACATTGACGCTGTCTTTGCAGTGATCTTTGAGGGCTCTAGAACACTAGAGAAACAATACTGGGGGAACGTGCAACCCAGGGCTCCTCAGAGGCACAGATGGCGAAGCTTTGATTAACATACATTGGGCATCGGGTTAGGAGAGAAAAGGGACTGCATGCTTGAAAAAGTGGAGGGTCAGTGGAAGAGAGGAGGATGTTCAACAAGGTGGATTGGCACAGTGACTGCAGCTTTGGGCTCAGTTGGGTCGGGGATGATAAGGACGGCATAGGGTAGGGCAGGGGCAGATCAGCTGTCCAGAGAGTCACTGTGGGTCCTACTCAACCGCAACTAACAACAGCTAACACTCAGATCACACAAAATATTTACCACGTGTCTGCTCCCTGTAATCCCTGGGCAGGTGATAGAAAGGATATAGATCTCTCCATCAAATATTATCTCCCACTCAGTAAAGCATTACATATCTGTAAGTCCCTAGCTGGTGATATAAAGATCAAAAGTTCAATTAGATATGAATCTTAGCCTTAAGGAAGGTATCACTGTAATACTGGGGGGAAAAAGTGTAATAATGAGGGCAATGCAATCTATTTTTTTGTTAATTATTTTTTCATTTTATTTTCTATTGGTTTGCATACATAACTCATATACATTATGTATCATTCATGTACACTGTGTTTCATGCACTCAATCATATGTATTGTGTCTTATAAATTAATAGCATCGACCTATGCCTCCTAGTACCCTTTCTTCTCAGGTTCCCACTAGATCTTTTCCAATTTCTTCACCACCACGTCACCTCTGCCCACCAAACTCTGTTATCCTATGAATTCTTAAAACAATGATCTCAGAGTTGAGTTGCATGAATAGGGAAGTACAGATCACATATCTTTGTCCTTTAGAACTTCAGGGACAGTAGATAAAGATTGCTAGTTTCTGTCAGCAGATGTAAAAAAAATTGACATAGCAGGTATAATTTGCAGGAATTATATTATTATATATAATTATATATTATATATATAATTATATATTATTATATATATTATTGATTTTGGAGAAAGGGAAGTTGGGAGAGCATGTAGATGGGAGATTTGTTCACGGACATCTTAACATTGATAGGACCTAGCAATGATGAGATGCAGAGAGAGAAAGGCATAGTGATAGATTGAGACAATATCAGCCAAAGACTGAGAAAGGGTGTCAGAAAAGATGGCAAAAACAGACACCTTCAAGGTCTCAGAGAAACAGATTGTTAATACAGTAACTGCAACAATGGGCTTGACTTATTGGTGCCCAACAACAAGTGCTCAACCAGCTGAAAGTTACCAGTTTAAACCCACCCTGAGACATCTCAAAAGCCAGGCTTGGCGACCTACTTCCTAAAGATCACAGCCCTGGGAATCCGGTGGGGAACAGATCTACCCTGAAACTCATAGAGTTGCCATGAATCAGGATTGGCATGGCGATAATTAACAAACAAGATTGTTGTTCTAATTTTTAGCTCTAAGGAAGTCTTGAAGCTAGAGTAGAACTAGGCTAACGAGTAGCAGCCAGTGGGCAGGGAGTCATGGAAGGTGCCAATTTCATGCCCCCCTCAGGACTTGTTTATTTTCCACCCCCTTGCCCTAACATTTGGAAGGAGTGGCATCTACATCCTAAACAACAGGCCTCCAGAAACTCTGTGAATTTTGATACATGATGATGGTTATATAAAGGCTTCAGGCCTTTTGTTCATAGGGTCGCTATGAGTCGTGCTTGACTTGACAGCAGTCAACCACAACAACTCCCTAACATGCTCTCACCCTTAAGATATTGTCAAGGGAGCTCTGGTGACCTAGTGGGTAAGGAGTTGCACCGGCAAACTAAAGGCATTCAGTTCTAGTAACACCAGCGGTTCTGCTGGAGAAAGGTGGGCAGTCTCCTCCCATGTGGTTTGCAACCATTGAAGACCCACTGGAGGCAGCTATTAGTCACTTCCGACTCCACAGCAGTGACTCACTCAAGATGTTTTCAAGGTTGAGTCTCTCCCTTCATTCTAGTTTGCTCAAACATCACAGTCCTGTTGCCCAATCTCTTAACTCTAGTTTTATTTTCTGCTGAGTTTATCACTACCTAGAATTACACTTTAGCTTGCCTGTTATCTGGTCTTCCAGTGAAACTGGAAGTTCAATAAGGGCCATTCACCAGCTCCAATTTCCTTCCCCAAACCTATTCTAGTCACTGTTGTACATTCAGTACCCAGAACAGGGCCTGACAAGAAGAAGGTGCTCACTAAGTCTTTGCTGGACGCATTTCGTGTTCTTGCAGACAGACAACAAGAGACAAAACAAGACCAGCACCTGCTCTGGAGCACCTGACAGCACAGCACCTGGAGATACTGTGTTGTCCAGTGGGGACAGAAACAGATCTGCTGGAGAAAGGGAAGTGTGTGTATTCTCCGAATCCAGAAGCTGGAGAAGCCCAGTGCTCTGCCTGAAGAAACAAGGACCTTTCCACAATTGTTAAAGGACAAATTTTCTGAGGAGTTTTCTAGCCAGAATGGAAAGGGTCTCCTAAGGACAAAACACTCATTAGGAAGCTCTTTCAAATGCTTAAGTGAAAATAATAAGGGCTTACATAAATCAAGGCTGGAGAAACAGACAGAGATTGAGTCAAGAGAAAATATTTATATGTTCCAGTAGCTTGTTCAGTGACTGTAAAGGGGAGGAAAAATTAAGAAATTAAAAATGGCTCCAGGGTTTCTGCTTTGATTAACTTGCAATGAAATGATCGAAAGAGGGAAAGAGAGAAAAGTTCTGAGAGGGAAGAACACATGTTTAGTTTGGAACAGAAGTATCTCAGAACATCTATAACATCTTGGAACATCTATAACGCTGAACACCTGAGTCTTCAGCCATGAGAGGTCTGGGCTAGAGGTATACTTAGGATATTCATGGGCAAGTAGGAGTTTGACCTGACAAAATCTATGGAATTAGAGAGAGCCCATGGAATGAAAATGACAGGACTTCAGATTGAAGTTTGAGGAAGACCAAATGTTAAGGTGTGGGGAAGAAGCTAATAGGAGGAACTGAAGAAAGAAGTGTCTTGCAGAAGTCAGGAAAGGAGGAAGTTTCAAGGAAATCTCCATTAACATGAGACTGGAATGAAGGCAGTCTATTTTGGTAACCTGGATATCACTGATTACTTCCACCAGGGCAGCCTCATGAGGGAAGCAGAAGCGAGGTTGTTATGAACAGAGGAGTGCATGAGAGAGGAAGAAGAATGACAGAATACATGGCAAGCGTGCTAAGAAGTTTAGACTACAAAGCCCTACGTGTTTGCTCTTCTGCTGCTTATTAAATGAGGAATTAAGTTCTAATGTTAATTCAATTGTGCATTGCTAAAATGAAAACAACAATATTTCATTTCTATAAGGATCTCGCTTTTAAAATTCATTTATTTTCGCACTTTTCCCTCCCTCCCCAGCCAGTTTTGCTCCATAAGGATTTTTATAGACTCAGTTATCAACTGGATTGCCTTCTTGGCTACCTTATGGAAGACCTATTCTTTTCAGGTTTATCTGTATTGCAATTTGGCAGTCAGCCCAAAGTAATTGTCAGAACATACAAGTGAAACAACTTACCATCAATTCCCACAATATACACATCCACTTGGATCCTCACAAATTCTTGCAAAATCTGTTGGAAAAGAAATATATCTTCCTCAGGGAACAGTTTTACTTGCTAGAAACAAAGTCTTATAGATCATTAAGTGATATATTGCATTCAGAAACATCTTGTATTTTGAGAAGGCAATAATATAGAGGCGGTTGTTGTTGTTAGGTGCCATCAAGTCAAGTATGACTCGTAGAGACCCTATGAACAAAAGATCTGAACCCAGGCCTGTCTTGCGCCATTCTCACACTTCTGACACACAAGAGCCCATTGCAGCAGTCACCTTGCCAATCCACATGGATGACGGTCTTCCTCTCCTTCGCCAACCCTCCACCTTTCCCCACATCATGTCCCTCTCCAAGGAATAGCCCCTCCTAGCAATATGTCCAAAGTATGTGAGGCGAAGCCTCATCATTCTTGCCTCCAAAGAGCACTCTGACTGTACCCTCTCCAATGTTCAAAACAAGGGCATTGAAAAACAAGGAACTCATGCAATATTATTCAAAATGGGTGACCCTGGAGGACATTATGCTGAGTGAGGTATCTCAGTCACAAAGGGACA